ATGTCGAGGTTCGAGAACGATCGTTGATGAGGATAACGAACGGGGTGGTGTCAGCGTTGGTAGATTAAAATAAAAGACAACCAGAGACACTCACCTCAATCGGAGGCGTTAGACCGCGTCGAATCGGCGACCTAAAGATACCAAGCGAGCGGAGTGGCTATGTAGAGCTTTGAGAACGATCGTTGATGAGGATAACGAACAGGGTGGTGTCAGTGTTGGTAGATTAAAATAAAAGACAACCAGAGATACTCACCTCAATTGGAGGCGTAATCGAATCGGCAACCTAAAGATATCAAGCGAGCGGATTGTGGTCGTTGCAAGCGAATCAACCAAACAACAGCTGAGGATTGAACTACTGGCTTTGGGTTGATGAAGTCAGATAGGGGGCCTAGTTAAAGATTGCATTGAAGCTGAGTTGATGAACGCTTACAGTTGAATAAGCTGGATGGAAGCGAAAAAGCGCTTGTCGAGTCAAATAACTTGAGATGTATTACTAGTCGGTTTGGGTTGATGAAGACTTCCAGTCGAAGAAACCCAGTGGAATCGAACCAGCACTGATGAGTTGATTCATATGAGAAGTTACGATCAATCAGGATAGTGAGATAGCAAGGTAGTGCAGATGAGTAGGAAATGAAGCCACACACCAGTGAAGTGAGTGATCAAGCCGAAGGACCCAGAATCGAAGCGAGTAAAGTAAGGAAGGTTTCGGGAGCAATCAGATTGTGGCTGCTCAAGTCCTGACTTCCCTGGGGGGGAGATTAGGCCCCCTGGAACTCAGCTGAAGCCCCCCACCAAAGCTGGCTGTGATCCAGCGGACTTTCATGACAGAACTCAACCAAAGTCAGGACCCTACACCAGCAACCTCTACTACCGACCGACCAACCCAAATAAATTGGCCATCACAAACACCTCCCCAGACACATTGCGAGGTAAGTAAATATTTATCACTTGTCCTCATTTCATCCAGAGTGCAGCAAGAGACTTTCACTGACTTCAAACAATTTGAACAGTCTAGGTGTCGTATTGACCAGGGACATCTTTTGTCAAATCTATCGCTCAGCAAGGCCTGTACTGCCAAGTGACTACCCCCACCACTCTGCACATAGTATGTATGTTGTTTCATCACTTCATAAGTGGTTAATAGACCAGAGTGCAGCAAGAGACTTTCACTGACTTCAATCAATTTGAACAGTCTAGGTGTCGTATTGACCAGGGACGTCTTTTGTCAAATCTATCGCTCAGCAAGGCCTGTACTGCCAAGTGACTACCCCCACCACTCTGCACATAGTATGTATGTTGTTTCATCACTTCATAAGTGTTTAATAGACCAGAGTGCAGCAAGAGACTTTCACTGACTTCAATCAATTTGAACAGTCTAGGTGTCGTATTGACCAGGGACGTCTTTTGTCAAATCTATCGCTCAGCAAGGCCTGTACTGCCAAGTGACTACCCCCACCACTCTGCACATAGTATGTATGTTGTTTCATCACTTCATAAGTGGTTAATAGACCAGAGTGCAGCAAGAGACTTTCACTGACTTCAATCAATTTGAACAGTCTAGGTGTCGTATTGAACAGGGGCGTCATTTGTCAAATCTATTGCTGTACTGCCAAGTGACTACCCCCACCCCTCTGCACATTGTATGTATGCTCCTCACATTTCACGAGTGATCAATGTGATCCAGGACAGCAATTGACTTCCACTGATTTAAAACACCTCTCACACACACAGGGAGGGAAATTGCTTTGTGTCAGTCTATGTGCAGTTGAGGGACCCCTATTGTGGAGTCTATCTATATGATGAGTAGTATTGCAATGTATCGCACTGACTTGAAAAATCATGAAAAATCATATGAAATAGGAATTCTTCATCTCTTCAGTTGCCACCTTGTCCATAACCCCCTGACGTGAAATATCTAAGCTAATTCCCTGCTGGACATAGGCCTGTGAGTAATCCCATGTGCGTTATTACAAAAATCAGATCACATGTCCATGATACACATAGCCCTTTGTGGACAGGCCCGACAATGAGAGGCTATGAGGGAGAAGGAGGAAAGTCCAAGCGGAGGCGTAAAAAACCAAAGACATTGAAGGGTCAGGCCGTGTCCCAAGAAACCGAGAAAGCAAGTGAACAATTCATCGAATCCATGCAGTCCCACCCAAATCCACCCAATTCCTCTCAACTATCCCGAGAAACCTATTCCATTCGACCCCTCAATAATCAAAATCACGAGCAATCAATAGGAAGAATCACCCCGGACCCAGTTGACCCTCAAGTAGACATGTTATCCCAGTATTTTCAAAACCAACATCACGAACACAGACACATCCTTGAAGAGCAACAATGGGCAGACGTATATGGACCAATGTTCTCCTCGTTTTACAATTGCGCAGCAAAAACCGCCAACTGGGGTGATCTTGAAAAATGGAACACTGATTGGAAACCCACATGTGGCTGTATCCCAATTCGTCAAAGGCCTGTGGTACTCGTGGATATCCTCAGTTAAGCACTTCACTTCATGCTAGATTTGATATTTGTGCATGCACTCATTTGACCTTAAGATATTACAGGTCGTAAAGAGGAGCGCATTGACTTCTGCCACTGCCAGCCGGACCAAGTAAGGCTGATCCAGATGGGGTACATCGGCGCATCCCCCAAATTCCCAAAGACCGCATTTTCGATCCGACTGCTTCAATTACATCACATACTATGGAAACATTGTACTATTGCCATGCTACCCTTCTCAAAAGCTATTGATGAATTTCTGGATATCAACAATCCCCTCATACTGGTTCCTCACGGTGAAGATGACTTTGATGAATCAGTCAGTGTAAGTATTTCATCTTGGCATCATATGTAATATTATTTCTGAATAGTCTTTGGAAATAATTTAGACTCGTCATTGGAGGAAGCAGTTAAGTAAAGCGGTTGATGCCTTCCGGGAAATGCTTAAAAGAGAGAAGGAATTAGTGGCCCAGGTGATGAAATTGGACCCGTTAGGTGAACTAGCTGACATTTGCCCCAAATGTTATGGACCACAAGTCGATGGTAAAAGAGAAGGAGAACCAGATTACATTTTATGTATGGATGGAAATTTCCAACATCGCAGACACCTCAAAGCCAGTGTTGAGCACTCTGAAAATATCAAAACTCCCAGCCTTTTCGTTCAGCCGTGTGAAGTATCCGAGATGGAAGAATCACTTGCACGATTACAACAACCAACCCAAACGATGGAAGGTAGTGTGAGTTAAGATATTTAAAACTATCCAAAACCATCACAGCTAATAGTGACATCAAGATTAATTTATACACAACAATGTAGCACAGGTGCACTGAGCAGCACACAGCGGCCAATGACACGAGAAATGGAAGTACTTGGAAGCATTGTGATGATACTGGACTATTTGGGATGGCTTGCCGGCATGATCAGATGATCAGGATGATCAACATTGTCAAGAGTGGTGAGAAGTATGTATGTTCATTAACTTTGACAACTAAAGCCCATAAATAAGGCCTTTTACAATTATATCATATGTTTTGTCAGATCCTATTTCCCTTTAACCATGATTAACCACATGGTACAGGTCACCAAAGAAGACCACGGAGCGCGCAAGAAGCTAGCATTCCTGTATGACATAGGATGCAACCTTGAGAAAGGAATTATGCGAGTATGTATCTATTTTTTATCTTATCTGGCCCCAGGGTATTTAATTCAAGGCTGATTGAGGTGGCTATTATCCAAAAACCAGCGTAATCAATTTCCATACGAGATGACTCATAATTTGCTCCGGTTTGGCACAAGTGTTTTCCATGCATATGTGCATGAGTGGACCTGCCAGCTCCGATACAATCCCAGATTGAACCAAGGGTGGGGAATGTCAGACGGGGAGGGGATGGAGCGTCTGTGGTCCCATTTGTCACCATTAATCAGCCAACTCCGTTATTCCACCAAGAATCACCGACTGTCCGCAATTGACCTACAAGTGAATCATCATAACAACAATGGAAGAAAATCAGCATGTAGGTTCTTTTGTGTCCAAAATATTTTAAACAAAGCTGAGTATTCCTTGTTCAGTTCGTTCACTTTTAGAAAGAGGGAAGCAAATTGAAGGAATTTTGAAAGAATCCCAGCAAACCCTGTTACAAGTGGAGAGGTCATCTGGTCACACATTGTCGTATTTGAAGGACCAATGGAATCGACAGAGGCAAATGCAACTGGAGGCAATGGAAAATGATACTGAATTGCAAATGAGAAAACAAGTAGAAGAGCTTGTTATGTTGGAGGACCAACTCCGAGCAACACAGTCAGTTCATTGATTGATTTTTGTATTGCCCATAACTAATAAACTGTTGAATAGACAGGAAATGGTTGAACTCGGAAGAACCAGGCGCAGGAATCGTATGGAAGCTCAGACCTTGCAGATGGAACAAGGTTCTGATCATCTACGTGTGTTAGAATCAGAGATAGAAAATATCATTCATGAGCTGGGTTTGGAATATTTCCGCAATCTTCCAGGCAATTCTGGTCAATCATCATATTACTTTCTTCTCAATCAAATAAAACCAAAATAGCAAAGACTGAGACTTGACTTCTTGCACAGGTGAACAAACTAAATTATTGGTAAAATTGAAAATCAGCAAGTCAAAGCTATATGAGGCCAAGGTTGGAGTGATTGAGCTTCAAAAAAAATGGGATGAACGTGGATCAGGCAAGTAAATACATAACTTTAACATGCATGTGGCCCTCCTCTTATGAATTTACCCTACAAAAAATAGGCACCCGGATACAGGCACAGTTCAAGAAGCAAATGAATTCCAAAATGAAGCTTCTGAAGAACAAATGGATCTCGTACAATCACCGAGCAATCAACTATAATGCAACATATACACCCAATCCTGATTTACCAACCCCAACATTCGATGAAGTCAAGTCATTTCAAATCAACAATTCATTTTGGAACATTGGCTTGCTGGATCATCCAAATGAACCCTGGGCCATTGACGTGGAAACACAGAAGGGTATTACAGCATATCTCACAATGACTAACTGTGATGATGAATTGCGCCGCATATCACGGGAAGCAAGGCAGGCTCTAAATTGGGCTGTCAATATGGCAGCCAAGGTGGAGAACATTTTGGATGCATTGCTCATGGGTGTGTAAAATTTTAGAAAAATATTCAAGTGGATCTATAATCTGATTGGTTCTTTTTGGCCCCTACATAGATGTGCAAGAGACTGATGTTCTAACAGAAACTCAGCAGAATTTACAGGATATTTGCACAGCTGAAAATCTACCCAAGTCAGTTATGGAATCGGTGATTTCTAATACGGCAAAGAAGTTCTGTAGGCTATGGATAACGTGGAACTCAAGCTGTAATACGGTCTTACTGTGGAGTCAGCGGTGGATTGATGAACCAGCTGAAGACATTGAGCTGAGAGAAAAATGGGACAATGTCATTGTGAAGAATAGGACATTGTGGGAAAAACTACGTGGAGAGGCAGTGATAGTAGAAAATGAAAATGAAGAAGAAGAAGAAGAAGATCAGGATCAAGAGCAATCAATATTTTGGCATGAAAATGTTGATTATTTAGATTAATAGAAATTTTAACATTACTTTGATGTGCTAAAGTTGAAATGATTATATGTAAATGACATATACACTGCGCCTCCTCACCTCTACACTGGAAAAAAACCTTAAATGATTAAGCCTATGTGTATAAATGATTGAGCTTAATAATTGATATTATTAATATAAGATATAATACCCTGACTGGGTAATACCCTGACTGGGTAATACCCTGACTGGGTAATACCCTGACTGGGCTGAATGCTGAATGAGCTGACTACAGGAGCTGGCTGAGCTGGCTTGTACAGTGAATGAGCTGAATACAAAAGCTGGGTCCAAGAGATGTTCAACAATAGGACCAGTTTCAAGACCTGCAAGAGCCAACAGAGCTGACCAAGCTGATTACAAGAGGCGTCTGAGCTGGGTTGGTGAGATAGCTGAGTGAGTTTGGTCCAAGAGCTGAGTGAGCTGGCTCGGAGATCTGGATGAGCTGGGTCCGAGAGCTGACTGAGCTGGGTCCAAGAGCTGGACTTGAGCTGGGTCCGAGAGCTGACTGAGCTGGGTCCCAGAGCTGACTTGAGCTGACTGAGCTGAATGAGCTGAGTCCAAGAGCTGACTGAGCTGGCTGAGCTGAAAAAATTGGACGAGCTCAGCTCCACCCATCTTCCATTCCAAATGGAAGATGTGTGCATCAGTTTCTTCCATTTGGCATGGAAGAATTTTGCAGCCACAGGTGTATCTGTTGCAGATACCCGCTATCTGCTGGCGGATACCTGCCACAGCCAGCAGATGCGGATGCCCCCTTTTCCGTGAAATCCCGGTGGATATCCGGGTATCCCCAAGGATACCCAAGGCCGGAAGGAGGAGATGGCCAGCTGGAAGGATCTCCTTCCAGTCGGCAAGGTACATGTACCTCGCCGGCTGGAAGGAAACCCTGCCAGCCTGCTTCCCCGCTGCCAATTTAATGGGTGGATATCCATGGATACCCGCTCGGATACCCCCCAGCAAGTGTGGATGTGGATGCAGATGACCCCTTCCGCTGAAAAATGGAGGGGATATCCAGATGGAACAGGGCCATCTCTAACCCAAACAGGTAATCACCTCTCAAAACAAGGTCAAGCTGAAAATAAAGGTGAAAACAAAAGAGACAGACATGGATGTTCCTACTGGAAGTGTCCCCAGTGATAGGGCTTGTTGCAGCAAGCGGATGAAAAAGAGTGGACCATGAGAAAGAATATTAATGGGTGTTTCTTTCTTGTTCATTGTATGAGCGCTGTTTCCTATGCCTCGGAAAATAGTAGATATGACTTGTGAATTTCTCTCTTGCTGTGTGGAATGTTCATCTTTGCACCACATATTTCTTAAAAGGCTTGGCCTTATGTGTTTGAGCCTTGTAATTATCCCTCCTTTGGGCTGTATGATAGTTTTTGCATTCTATTAAAATTGAGAGGCTTAGGCCTTGTGATACTTGGTTTGTAAAATTCTGATCACATGGTGTTTGAGCACAGTTTTGCATGGATTATTTAACAAGGCTCCTGTGTACAAGGTCAGGTGTGTGAGGAATGCCTTGTAAAATTCACATTTCAGGGGAGTGGGGGGGGAATTTTACACACATTATGACTTGTGGGGCTTAAGCCTTGCAAATAGAGTCTTGTAAAATTCTATACCCCCCTAAAATAATACTTTTTGGGGAAAAAGCACATCCCAACATAGGATCCCATTTCTGCTCTTTCTGTGTAAATATTTTCAAAAAAAAATCATCAGTCAATTGATACCAGATTTCCCTATTTGAACTGCTCTAAAAATGTGATAAAAATGAACAAGGGATTTTAAAGACAATTATAGGTAGGTAATTTCCACAGAACAATCTGTAGCAAGGGGCTGAAATTCTTCATGAATGAGTTGCTTTCCAATTCATTATAATTTTTTGCTTCACAATTCAAAGGATTATTTTGTGTAGCTTTGAGAAGCTAATGCATTTATATTGGTTGCAGTTTATTTTCATTTGAAGAATTCATAGTATGGAATGTCATCACGGGTTGTTGAGGGTGTAGCTTCTTCATATGAGGCTGCTTCAGATGTCCCTTGTCAGCCTTAGAGATACTCCCAACGGTGGGCCAGTTACGCTAACCGTAGTGTTAGTGCAGCGTAGTGTTAGCTTTTTAAGCTACGCTACACAAAAGTTACTGTTAGCGAAGAAATTTGGCCCACTAACACTACAGGATTTCTGAAAAAACAAAAAAAAACTTTAGCGTAGTGTTAGCTGACTAAAAAAAACAGCAACTAACACTAACCAAATCCCTTGTTAGTGGAATTTTAGCGTGGTTAGTGGGATAAAAAGTTACACTAACTGTTAGTGTAACTTTTTGATAAGTTACACTCACTGTTAGCGTAGTGATCCCCTCAGTTACACTAACTGTTAGCGTAACTGATCAAAAAGTTACACTAACTGTTAGCATAACTGATTACTGAGTTACACTAACAGTTAGCGTAACTGATTACGCTCCTCCAATTGAAGTAGGTGGTATCACTAGGGGTGAGAGTTTGTTTGAGAATCTGGTTTCGAAGCTCCTGTTTTTTTTGGCTTGGCACCGTTTCTTTGCTGCTTTCATACTGGCATTATTATTACTATCAAGAGATAAATTAGTCCCCAGGGTTTGAATCACCCCAAGATCCATTTATTCCATCATTTAGTAGCCAGCTGCAGGAAAGGGAAACAGGAAGAGTAAGAAGAAGCAAAAAATTAGATCAGCAACCTGCGGAAGCTTAACACAAATTTGAAATCATACCGCTTTTTTGGCCCGTCCTGTTTGTAATCCACAGTCAATGGTCAAGAAAATGTGTGTGGGGGTACCTAAATCAAAGAGGGGGGAGGTTAGCAAGCATCAGATCTTCTAGTTTGTTCCCTTTTGGGGAAGCGATTGATTTTTGCTGGTTGACTTTGAGTAGCGATAACTTTTGCAAAAAACGTCCGATTTCCTTATTTTTTGGTTTGTTGGAAAGCTGACATCAGGGCTACAACTTTGTCAGCCACTGTGTTGACTAAAAGCGAACGGTTTCTGAGATTGAATTGATTGAAGTTAGTCCAATGCAATCCAATGAGAGACCTAAGTTTCAGAAGAGGGAGTAAGCTGAAGAGACTTTTGGATTGGAGGATATAATGGAGGTGGTTGTGATGAGTATTTAATTGAGATGAAGATCAGATTGAGCTTTGATGAAGTTGATGATGAGGATGAGGATGAAAAATCTTGATGGGGTCTTGCTTGGATCGGAAGAGATTGGAGGGGAGGTCCGACATCCATCTCCCCTTGCTTGAACTTCAAGTTCAAACTCAAAGCCCAGGGAGTGAACATGTCACAGGCATGTCCATGACATCCTCTTGCTGACTGAACCTCAACTCACCAACCCATTCCTCATGTACTGCTAGTCATGTGGACAAGGAGGATGTCTGGAGATGCTACTAACCTGTCATGTCAAGTGTTCAATTCCACCTCAAGGCATGCATTTGTGTTATTTTCTCAATTGAAATTTTTCATTTGTCCACCATTGTGTAGTGTAGCGTATTGTGGGACCAGTTACGCTAAATGTTAGCGTCAACTCAGTTACGCTATCTGTTAGTCAAAATTTTGTTAGTGAAAAAAAAGTTACACTACCTGTTAGTTTAGCGGTGATTATTTGAAGCTAACACTATAGAAAATTTGAGAGAAAAATTTCACGCTACGCTGGCAGTTAGCTCAGCGGTGTTTAGCATGCGCTAACACTACAGATTTTCTAGAGAAAAAAAAGGCCGCTACACTAACAGTTAGTGGTCAAATAGCGTAGTGTAGCGTAGCGGCCCACCGTTGATACTCCAGAGTATCCAAAAGTCTGCTAATAATAAATATATCTAATATTACTCACTAATGAATAAAATAAACACTGAAGATTATTTAATAATCTTCATTTTTATATAATTTTAGGTGGGGTCTCTCACTGGAGCTACCCCTAAAATCCTACTCCTTCTAGGACTTTGTTAATACTCAAAGACCATGAAGTCAAGTAAGGACCCCGGCAAGTGCCTGTCAAACTGACTCATGTAATTCCCAGGAAATTTGGGTTTTGGATACATAGAGAAATCTGGTTTTTCTAATCAAAACTTCATTTAGATACGTCCTACATGAGGATGATTGCAAGCATGGTAGCTCAAAAAAATTGAGAGAAATCCAAAATCACTGCCCCTTGCAGTTCATAGCCTTCTGTAGCTAAAAAAATGCACTTTTTGGTGGGAATACCCCAAAAAGATTCTAGGTTCATGAGGACCATTTGCCAAAAAGAAGGCAAATCCGATACATATCCGATGAATTTCGTGAGGCGCATTTTGCAAAAAAAACCCATTTGGATACATGCTACATGAGTTGGTTTGACAGGGACTTGCCGGGGTCCTGTCAAGTAAGAACAAAATACTGTAAATTAACTAAAATAATAAAGTGAACCTAATGTATATTAGATTAGGGTTAAATATACATTTAAGACTGTATTATACAAGAAATAAATATGTAGAATAGAAATTACCACACTAGTGTAGTGTGTGACAATTTCTATTAGTATTATTCTACTTTAGTTGACACATGATGTAATTGGCTATAAATATGCATCATGATGTAATGGGACATAGAATATAATTTTATTAGAAATATTACAACATTCCCATTACATCGTGGGATTATTTCTACTGTTGTACATTAAAAAGGAGATTCTAGAATATTCTAAGAAATGCCCCCGAAGGGATCTCTAGAATATTTAAGGAGGCCTTTCTCCTGCCTAGGATGGATTCCTCAGCATATTCACCCCCAACAAACTAAGTGAGTACAGTGAATATTCTCCACCTACTTTTTAGAGTAGTCTTTTTATTATCCAATCCCACCCTACCTTCTTACTGGAATTATTGTTAAGCTGAGA